GCAGATCTCCCGGCGGTGCTGGCTGGTCTTCCGCAAGTCATCCAGCAAAGGGCCCCAGCGCCTCGAGAAGTACCCGGATGAGAAGTCAGCGTGCCTGTACGGGTGCCCCAAGGTGAGGGGTGCTGGGGGGTGCTGAGAGAATGGGAGGGGCCCGTGGCTGAGCAGGTTCCTCCTCACCCAGACTTGCAGGGCTGGAGCTGGGCGCCTGTCGCCACATGCGCTTCTGTGGGATGCTGCTGGATCTGGGTGCAGAAACCAGGGTCTGGGTGCAATGGCACCAGGGTCTGGGTGTACCAGGGGACAGGGTCTGGGTGCAGCAGGAACTACAGTCTGGGTACAGCCTGGGGTGACCCCCCACCTCCTCCACAGGTCACTGAGATCAGCAATGTCAAGTGCATAACCCGGCTGCCCAGGGAGACCAAGAGACAGGCTGTGGCCATCATTTTCACCGACGACTCAGCCCGGACCTTCACCTGTGAGTCAGGTATGGGCAGCACTCAGGAGAACAGGGCTGGGGGTGCTGTTGGGACTCCCTGGGCTGGCCAGGGTCGCATAGGGGATCTGTGGTGCCTTGCAGAGCTGGAGGCAGAGGAGTGGTACAAGACACTGTCTGTGGAGTGCCTGGGCGCCCGCCTGAACGACATCAGCCTGGGGGAGCCCGACCTGCTGGCGCCCGGGCCCGGGGGGCAGAGCGAGCAGACGGGTGAGCGCGGACCGTCAGGTGCTCCCAGGGTTCAGCTGCACTACAACCCCCCACAAACCATTTTCTATCTTTTATCCCCCCCTCCAGACCGGTTTAACGTGTTCCTCCTCCCCTGCCCCAACCTCGACGTTTATGGCGAGTGCAAGCTGCAGATCACCCATGAAAACATCTACCTCTGGGACACGCACAACCCTCGGGTGAAGCTGCTCTCCTGGCCCCTCTGCTCCCTGCGCCGCTACGGGCGCGATGCCACCCGCTTCACCTTTGAGGCTGGACGGTGAGATGTCACCCCCGCTGGGACAGGGGTCCTGTTGGGCACAACAGGAGACGGCAATTGCTGCCATCACCCCAGGATAGGGCAGGCCTGACACTGGGGTGATGGCCACAGCCCACATAGGGTGCCAGGGAGGTTTGGAGCGGGTGCTGGTCCTAGCTCAGCACCATGGATGGGACACAGGGACAGCACTAGGCCAGCTGCTACCAGGGCTGGTATGTTTTACCATCCCTTGGCTTGGGGACCACAGTGACATCCCGTGCCCTGTCTCCCCAGGATGTGTGACGCAGGGGAAGGTCTCTACACCTTCCAGACACAGGAGGGTGAGCAGATCTACCAGCGTGTGCACAGCGCCACATTGGCCATCGCTGAGCAGCACAAGAGGGTCCTGCTGGAGATGGAGAAGAATGCCAGGGTGAGCTCCAGTGCGCCCTGGGGACGCAGCTGGGGGGCAACTTGGGGTGCTGGGTGTCACCCTCACCCCTGTCTCCTCCACCACAGCTGCTGAACAAGGGCACTGAGCACTTCTCCTACCCCTGCACCCCCACCGCCATGCTGCCCCGCAGCGCATACTGGCACCACATCGCTGGCTCCCAGAACATGGCTGAGTCGTCCAGCTATGCTGGTGAGTATCCCCGGCCTCCCCAGGGACCTGCTGCCCCTCCAGCCCCGCAGCACCCCGCCAGGCAAGCCCACCATCTGCTTTGTCCCCAGGTGAGGCGTACACAGGTGCCCAGGCCAGCTCGGACACCGACCTCCTTAACAGGTTCATCTTGCTGAAGCCAAAGTCCTCCAAAAGTGACCAGCCTGAAAGCAGAGAGCCCACATCATCCCCGTGAGCTGGCTGGGAGGGGGACGCAGTGGTGGGGGTCACCCTTTTTCTTCCCCGAGGGGTGGCAAGGACACAGGCAGCGGCCCCTCTGGGGCCCCCGGGGCACAGGGCCACCCTCCGTGCCAGGACCTTGGGGAGCTGGCATTGGCTCATTGCCTGATGTTACTGGAGGTGATACTGGCTCAGCCTCCACTGACTTGAAATGTATCTTGAATATCTGTATTATAAGTGATTTTTCCTTCTCAGATGAATGCAAACTTCGCAGCCGCTGAAGAGACCTTGGGCAGAGATGCTCAGAGGTTTTTGACTCTTTTGGGGATCCGGCTGGGAGGTGGCAAAGAGACAGGGCAGGTCAAGAAATTCCATGTGTTTCTGCTAGGTGTGAAGGCTGGAGCATCACAGCAGCACTGGAGGCTGTGGCTGTGCCAGGCTGAGGTGCGGGGTCCCAGCATCTTACCCCCTCCATGAAGAGTGGAGTGCTCCAGGGGACACCCCACCACCCCCAAAGCTGAGTTTTGCACTTCTGAAAGCTACTGGAGCACTCGCTGTAGAACTGGGATCTTTCCTCTGGGGATTGGTGAGGTGAGCAGCCTGGCAGAGCCCAGCTCCCTATCCCAGCACTCCCAGCTGCCCTCCTGGCCATGCTCCTGCTTTAGCTGCTGGTGAGCAACCCAGCAACCCATTTTGCCATTAGCATCTGTTCCTGAGGGGCAGCTTTGTGGATACAAGAAGTCCCTAGGCAGAGCACGGGGAGCTGTGTTTCTCTGCATTCCCATCATCCTTGCTCCCTCCATGCCCGCCGCTGGGCGACAGCCCTTTCCCGGCGGGGAGCTGGGCTTCATGTGCTGAACTCAAAAGCAATTGATTTTTTTTCCAGTTCTATTTATTGACCTCCTTTAGAAGGGCTATCTTTTTATCGCTGTGCAAAACTTGGTGTTTCTTCGGCGTCTTCTCTTGGTCTGGGTTGGGTGGTCGGTAGGTTTATTTCCACCCTTAAAGCTCCACATCTGTGCTTGGGGGGCGGGAGTGTTGTGATGTGGGGACTCGTGGTCTGTAAATACTGTCTCTTGGGTTGGGGTAGCTTGTGGCTGAGGCGGGGGGGTGGTGGGACAGAGAAGGGCTGCTCCCAGCCGCGTGTCCTCCCTGGGGGAGAGGTGTCACTCCTGGCTACACACCTCATCAGGAAAGGATTTAACATTTATTACCAAAAATGTTAGGGTTTCCTTTCTTCCTTTTTGTTTTTAAGGAGTTGCTCAATGAATAAACAACCCTTACCCACCCTTCCTGTGTGTCTGCTCCATCCAAACACACTCTGGAAGTCCAAGTGTCTGCCAGAGAGAAAAGTGTTGAGGGCGGGAGATTTCCTACGGCTGCTGGCAATGTGCTCAGTTCAGGTCCTCCAGCCATGGCCAGGACATTCCAAGTGAAGGCTAAAACTGCTGGGAAGGGGAGAAGGGTGAAGGGAGTTGCCACCCTCCATTAAACAACCCCAAGTAAAGCAGGATGCCAGCATCCACTGCCACCCCTCACCTCCAGCAGCCCATGGCTCCCAGGATGGGCCAGTGCAGCAGTGGCTCCACATCCCTGGGCAAAGGTGTTTCAAGACACTCCATCTCCCAGCTCTGTGCCAGTTCAGTGACTCATGCCATGACTGTCTGGCCCCAAGATTAGAGCCATGCCAGCTGGGGCAGTGCTCTCTGTAGGGATAGGAACAGGTTATGGGGAGCTGGCTGTGCCACAGCAAGGACATGGAGGGGACACCAGCACTGACTCCAGCTGCTCTCTCCAGCTCAGCATGAGCACCCATCCCTGCTCCTCGAGCCATCCGCCTGCCCCACATCAATGCTGGGACAAGCATCGTGGTACACACACCTTCCCCCCCGCTCCCAGCCGCTGCAGTAAGGAAGAGGCAGATCTCTCCAGTAATATGCCACCAAGAAGCTCATCCCAAGCCCTGCTTGGCGTTGATGGAGGGGAGGAGAAGGGCTGACCCAGGCACTTGGTGAAGCCCTTAAGCTGCTGCCAGTGGTCACAGTTTGGGACCTGCACCAAGCTCCAGCATGGCATGGAACCCACCTCTGGGCTGTGGGCAGACAGGAAGCTGTCAGCCAGGGGTTATTAGTGACAGGCTCCCTGCCATGCCTGCTCTTAACATAAAGATTATATAGCACATGGGTAGAGCATGCTCCAGAGGAGTTTTTAAATACAGCTAAGCCCACCTGGCCCACCTGGGCTCCCCTGCAGCACCACTTTCTGCAGCATCTCCCTTCACAGCCCAACCTCAAACATCTGCTTTAAACACAGCTCTGGACCAGTGAATGATGAGCTACCTGCTGGAGGGGTCTGGTCTCCTTAGGAGATAATGTCAAGAGCAGCAATCAGCAGTAGAGAGCAATGCTCCCTCCAAAGCAGATCTCATTAAGTTAATGTCTATTGGAGAGAAGTAAATGATGTGAGATCTCCTCCTGCAGCCCCAGAGGAGCTTTCAGGGATTACAGAACACAGGGAAGGGGGTAAGGCTTTATTCAGCATAGTAAGAATGGACATGCAAATTGGATAGGGTTGTGTAACTGAGGTACACTGCCACATTGGCAGAATCCAAAACTCTGACCTAAAATTCTGAGATCACACTTGAAAAAAAGCCTGTCCCAGCCAAGATGCTCACCAATTCTCTTTCTGCTTTACCCTAGACATCATGATGGCATTCCCAGGAAAGGAAGGCCAGGGAAGAGATGTCACCAACCCGCAGACCTGGGCCAGAAAAGGCAGAGGCAAGGACCTCCTGCAGCACTCTGTTGCAAGGGGTCACCTCAGTTTATAGTGAGGACGTCACTCTGAATCTCATGGCTCAGCTGGGTTTGGAGGTCGCTCAGTTTCTTCTTCAGGCCAGAGAGCGCAGAGAGAACGATGGTCTCTGGGCGCAGAGATCCGCAGGACTCCACATTGTAGTAAAACCTGAGGTTACAAGCCGGTGAGTTAAGTCACCATCTGCCCTGTGAGGAGGTGCAAAACAGGAAAGCACCTGCAGAGCAGTTCCAGCCTGTCCTGACCCCACTGCAGGGAGGTCTGCTGGGAATCCCAGCCATCAGCATCATTCACCTCCCCAGCACCAACAGCCAGCACTGCCCCTCTGCCACTGTCACACTCATGGCTTCACAGCCCGAAAGAGCACTTCTAAGACTATTTCTATTCAGCACCATGACCTGAGATCCAGGGAGTAAGGTTGGCTCCAGGCACCCCTGCAGTGCAAATAACCCATGAGAGGGAGTACCACCAGAAATCAAAGCATGAGACACCCACATGGATGAATAAATATCCAAAGCCATTTTCCCCTGCAGGCCTCACACTTCACCTAGTGCTGCGCTGCCCAGCTTGAGAACACAAACTCAGGAGAGCTATCCAGTACCTCCTGGAGGGGAAAACCTACCAGGCCTGGGCATATCACCGCTTAACTCCATCTTCTACCCTGCCTTTCAGGGAACACCAGCTCCCTGGGCTGGCAAACTTCAGCACAGAGCGAGTACTCCTGCACTGACAGAAGCTGACACCATGGACCCGGCTAGTTACCCCCATTCCGCAGCTATGGTAGCATATTCAGCTTCTCACCTCTCTGGCTTCCCGTTGGGATCGTAGGGAGCCTGAGCATCCTCCTCGTCAATCTCTGAGTATTCACTCTTGGGCCTGGAATCAAAGAGCAGGACAAGTCAGCACAAAGCCCACACTCCAGCCTGGCCCCATGGAGCTCAGGCCCTCAGCAGCACTGCTCAGCTCCAGAGCGAGCACACAGGCTGACATCCAGCAGTCACCAAACATCATGTCCCAGAGAAAAGCTCAGTCCCATGTTGCCCTTTCTGGCTCCTCACTAATGCCACACAGGCACCCAGTGGTGCTGGAGGAAGAGGATCAGCCCTGCTCTGCCCCATTTCAGTGAGCCTGTGCAGGGTACTGTGGCTCCATCCATTTACCCTGGCACAACCTGGCAGGTGGCTGAAGTGAAGGGACATCAATGCCTGCAGGGACTTTGTTTATGGAGAAGCCTGGATGCTGGTTTTGGAGCAATCATCTTTTCTTTCTACTTTTCCATGGGCCAGTAAAACAATGGAGCATTCCAACACTCAGCCTGGGCAGCATAGCTGAGATGGGAAGGTCTGGTCAGCTTGTGCCCAGCAGGAAAAAACCTTCTGTATTTAACCCCAGCTGCATCAGTGAGCCCCATCCCACGACCTGCACCTCCACCCTTCTACACACATCACTACCAAAACCACCGCAATACCTGTGCATCAGCTAGGCCAACACATCTTTCTCCCCGTTGCATCCCTTGGCTTATGGGACATCATACCAGAGAGACTTTTTGGAAGCATTTCATTCACATTAAAAAAAAACTAATCCAAAGCCTCGAGCTATCTGAAAAGCCAGCACAGAAAATCCTGTATGCACCAAGGTCTCCTGCTGGCCCTCCTCTGCCCCAGCGATAGCAAGCAAGGCTGATCTAAGCACCCTCCCATCAGCTGCCTCAAAACTGCACTTCTTTAACAAATCCTGTCTCTGTAATAAGCCACTGAGAGAGATAAAGTGTTAACGCAGCTGGGTATCCATGCTACTTGCTGAATCACCCATGACCAAGAACAGGGCAGAGGTTTCCACCACAGCTGTTTTAAGAGTCCAGCTGCATGCCAGTGCTCTGCCAATGGCCTCCAAAAGCAACAAGCATGAAAACACAAACCAAAAACAACAGCTAGCCTTGGACAGCAAAGGCCTTTGACTCTGTATTGTCCTCATGGGAATCAGATGAACCTGGAAAGACGGACCTATCATCAGGGAACAGACAGTATCAAAGTCAAGCTTCACCGAATCACAGAATCAATAGGGTTGGAA